CAAAACGTTTGCTGTTCTCTGAAGCAATTGTTGGTGATGACATATTTTGTGACAGGAAATCATTGCAAAATGCCTGGTTCTCAGGATGAAAAACGTGCGTCCAGCTCAGAAAAATAAATGCAACCAGTATGTTCTAAACATAGATTCCTTCAGATTTTGTTCTAGGACAAAAATCAAACCCACTTTTCAGGATTTATTGTTCTAATCATTAATGCCTCGGCAGTCAGTGAATCTGTTACTGTTATAATATCTGATTTTCCACTGGAAAAAATAAAAAGAGAAAAGTTAAAGTTTAACTGTAGCCATTGAGTTTGCCCACGCCAATCAAACAAGTGACAAGCCATTACAATATCTCAGTAACTTGTTCCGTGGATAATTCCCCTGGCAATATTAAGGAATTAAACGCAAGACTGGTAGATCCATTAGTATTGTTTAGATTTGCAAAGCATAACAAAAGTTCAAACAGCCTTCAATGACTGCCTCTTTATGAGGCTAGTGGAGGTAGCCCTCTCACCATGGCTTCTGGTGGAATGACCAAGGAAGAGCTGCGAGGTAAGCAAACAGAACCATCTTCCTACAGAACACCCAAAAAGGAAGCAATGGAGAAAGACAAGGCAGGAGTTCCCTGTGCAGGAACATGCCTACGGGTGCATGTTGGAGCAGACCTGCTCAGCGTCTGATTAAGATGATTGGATTTGAAGTTTAGGGTGATATATGAAAAGTAAACAGACACATGAAAAGCGTTACACAAAGCACACTCCACCACCCCCCTTCCGCTGAGATCCTTAAAGCTTTGTTCTACCCAGGAATAGTACCAGCTTCCCAATCCACTGCCACCTTACGGCATTTCAGAGAGATGACACTTCAGTAATTCCTATTGGACGCTTCCTATTTTCAGGCAGCCTCGCTGGAAACTCGGTTGTTACAGAAACACGGCAGCTGTAAACCTGCCCCTTGCATCCAGGTTTGGAACAGTATCAGTGCCTGAGATGCTGGTTTATACAAGCTTGTGAAAACCGATCATTAAAACGTCAATTCTATTTATATTTAAGATTCTCAAGGGAGGTCATTTCATCAGCCAAGGGGCCGAAAATAAAGATGAACTTTGCAATGCTGTCAAAAGAGAACCTTTCAGTCTAAAAAAGACTCATGACTCTCCCGAATGATTTTAATTGTCAGCCCAGTTTTGCAATGGAAGATGAAAGATTAACAGATGCCCTTATCAAGTGGTGAGGGTTCTTCTGAGAGCAGACTTAGCTAAGGGAAGAATCTGGGAGAAGACTAACAGAAATGGCAGATGCTTTGTAGTTTCCCACCCCTTCAACTACATATAATCCTCCTTTAAGCACACTTGTGTGGTTTCCTAGTCGATGAGCAGACGCTACGACTTGAATGGACAGGCTTCGGAGAGTTGGTTGGTTAATTATTACTTGGAAATGTGGGCAGGATTGCCTAATAGGAAACAGAGCAGCTGGGATTTTTGTCCTGTGCATTCCCCAAGTGCATGGATAGACTTGGCATTCAGAAAAGCAACATTAGCAGCAACCAAGAGTTCTGGGCTTGATACGGGTTGTTTTGGTACTAAGAGGAAACAGGGTGATTTTAGGGAAGGGCTATACCATATACAGGAGGACAAGCATGAAGCTGTTTTCCTGAGGTAAACTTGTTCTTTGTAAGTGAATGACATTGATTTCCCATTTTTATTTTCACGTTGTAGACTCGTTATAAAGCTGGAAGGAACATTTTTCAAGCAGACACTGTCAATATAAAGTATGCATTGGTCTGATTTTTATTTACTACTATTATGAGTAACAACAAATGCTAAAGAGAAGAGCTCACCCTCCCCTCCCTGCTGTTTTTTAGATCACCAACTTTTTCAGTTAACAAAAACTCATCTGTCTCTCAAGCTGGATCTCCTGTTTATGTAGTCTTTTGAAAGAACTTTGCCAGAAAATAAGATGATGTGATTTGCATTGGCATTTTGGTGCTCAATGGCAAAAAAACCCCAATTGTAAGCTCATGAGTGGAATGTCTAGTGGTGCATTTCAGGTAGAGAGCTAGCCACTGCCTAGTTGCATATTTACTTTGTCTTTTTGTGCAAGACCATCCTTTACAGAACGAATCCAATTTGTAGCCCTTATTTTTGACGAATAGCCATGTCTGGGGTCAACAGCTGTACTGAAACAAGAGAGAGGATGTCATTTTCATGGCTGATGGCCAGTTGAGTCTGTGCCTCAGCAATGTTTGATACAGCGGTGTCTCAGAGCAGGGCTGAAATGATGACTATGGTGGGGTGGCTGCACCACTCCAGTACTGTGATTACAGACTGCATCTTTAGTCTTTGTTAGGGCACACCACTCTCAACAGCCAAGCTTCCAGCTGTACAGAGCCGCACAGGTAGCTCATGAAGAATCAAACCTTAAGCAGTCCCAGGTCCTTTGTAGTAGGTAAAGATATTAATTATTTATCTGACAGGAAAAAAGGTTTCCAGCAAACTGTGCACCCTGGAGCAAGCAAACCACTGAACAAGACCATTTAGAGAGATTGTGTTTGCTTTCTGCTTTGGAAAACAGCTCTCATAAAGGATAAATTTTAGCTTAGCTTGCTCACATAGCAAGCTGGTTCAGAATGGCAGTGGGAAGAAGTAAAAAAAGTGAATGTGGCAATATTTTGGGGTCAGCAGCTCTTAGAACCTAACATTGTCAAGGAGTGCTTCTGCTGGTCCAAGTTATTTTGTGGTATAAACTACTCCTGCAAGAACACTTTTTTTAATGGCATAAGCAAGTGGTGCTCGATTTTTGTTGAGGACTGCTGAGTATCTTTACTGAGGTCACAGCAGGGAGCAGTACTCCAGCGCCTGCTTTGGCAAGGCTGGGAACTGATGCCCCAGGGGTGCTTCAGAGCCCTGAAGTACAAGCTCTTCCAGAATAGTGCCTGGGACTGTGGCCAGGGCCAAGCTCAATCCTCTTGTGGTGGCACTGGATATAAAGGCCAGTTCAGTAGCTCTAACAGAGTTTCCTGTCTTGCTGATAACAGCTGAATCAGGAGAGTTTTCTAGGAGTGATCTTCTATCTCCATCACTCTGCTCAGTTTCTGAAGAACAGCTTTACTATCACTCCATGTGCCACTTCCAGTGTGCTGTTGCCGTATTTTCATAACAAGCCAGCTCACCACACTGTGCCCCACTCCTACAGCTGCTGAGGTTTCCCACCAACCACACCACAGGCCTATGGATAACACTGCACATGGTAGCAACAGCTGGTTCGATGTCATTGTCTTTCACTGAATCACAAAATCAACTCAATTGGAAAAGACCTTTAAGCTCATCAAGTCCAACTGTTTCCCAGCACTGCCAAGGCCACCACTAACCCATGTCACTGGGGGCCTTGTCTACATGGTGTATGAACACTTTGCAGGGCTGGTAACTCCATCACTGGCCTGGGCAGCCTGTTCCACTGCAAAGCCTTTTGGTGTCACAATTCCTTCCTAATATCCAGTCTAAATCTCTTCTGGCTCAACTTGAGGTCTCTTGCCCTATCTCTTGTTACTTGGGAGAGGAGACCAACCCCCACCTCACTCCATTCTTCTGTCAGGCAGTTGTAGGGAGCAATAACGTCCCCCCTGAGCCTTCTCTTCTCCAGACTGAACCCCCCTACGTCCCTCAGCCGTTCCCCATCACACTTGTGCTCCATGCCCTGCATCAGCTCCGTTGCCCTTCTCTGGCCCCGCTCAAGCACCTCAATGTCTCTCTTGTGGTGAGGGGCACAGAGCTGAACACAGGATTCAAGGTGTAGCCTCACCAGTGCCCAGTACAGGGGGATGATCACTGCCCTGGCCCTGCTGGCTATGCTACGCAGGATGCCGTTGACCTTCTTGGCTGCCTGGGCACGAGCTGTTCATTTTCAGCTCCATCAGTCAGCATCCCCAGGTCCTTTTCCATAAGTAACTTTCCAGCCACTCTTCCCCAAGCCTGGAGCGTTGTGTGGGATTGTTGTGACCCAGACGGAGGATCCAGCACTTTGCCTGTTGAACCTCATCACATTGGCCACAGCCCATGTGATCCAGCCTGTTCAGATCTCTCCATAGGGCCTTCCTGTCCTTCAGCAGACCAACACTCCCATCCAACTTGGTGTCATCTGCAAAGGTACTGAGGGTGCCCTCGATCCCCTCATCCAGATCATTGATAAAGATACTAAGCAACACTGGTCTTAACACTGAACCCTAACACCAACTCGACGAGGGACAGGCCTCAGTTCCCGCTGGTTTCAGGCACAAACCAAGAGAGGGTGCTGAGGCACTGGCACAGGGTGCCCAGAGAAGCTGTGGCTGCCCCATCCCTGGCAGTGTTCAAGGCCAGGTTGAACACAGGGGCTTGGAGCAGCCTGCTCCAGTGGAAGGTGCCCCTACCCATGGCAGGGGTTGGAACTGGATGAGCTTTGAGGTCACTTCAACCCACACCACGCTGGGCACTGTGCGCCTCTCCCCTGCCTCCTCTCTGCCCAAGTAGCCCCTCCTCAGAGCCGGGAGCCACCTCCGGAGGGGTGGCAGGGGGGTTACAGCCAGCGGGGCGGTGGCTGCCCGCCATTAGAGCGGCACTGAGCATGCGCACACACCCCCCCGCGCAGCACGCGCACGGTTAGGTCATAAAGGTGAGCGGCCGTGCCCCAACGGGCTTCCGGATTGGCCGGTGGCGGAGAGCTACATGGCGTCTTCGGGCCGCCTCATCGGCGTGAGCCAATGGGAGCCCGCGCCCGCTCTCCTTCTCGGGCCGCAGCTTAAACCCCTCCCAAGGCTGTGTGACGGCGGCAGCGTGCCCTCTGATTGGCTCTCTCGCTTCGGCTCAGCCCTGCAATAGCCGGAAGAGAGGCCTCCTTCCTATTGGCTGCCGAACGCGCTGCTAGGGCGGTGGCAGCGTTTTCCGATTGGGTCTCCGTTTCGCTTCGGAGAGACTCGGCTGCGCCCGTAATGGTTTCATGATTGGTTACAGGCATTTCCGTAACGACCTCGGGATTGGTCCCGAGGACGCTCGGATGTTTCCGTGAGGGCCTCGGGCTGGGGTCTAACGAATGCGTCGGACTCTTCGGCTGGGTATTCACTGAAGGCGTTTACGGCCATTCCGCAGCGTAGGGCGGCGACAGGCATAGGCGGCTGCGCGACTTTGGCGCACACACAGAGCGCAGTAGCAGGAGCCCGGCACGCAGCGGAGGCAGCAGCGGGGACAAAGGGACTGATCGGCACAAACAGGGAGGGGGTCCAGGCAGGAGGCAGCCAGCGCCGGGAGGGAGCGGCAGGAGGCTTCAGCCGGGCGGGCGAGTCCCATGTGCCTTGGGCGCCCGGGGAAGCAGCACTAACCGCCGCCGTCAGCGCTCTGAAGCCGGCTGAGGAGGAACCGCGGAGCCTTCGCCGTCGTCATGGCCTGCGCCACCGCCGCCGGCCACCCCCCGCAGTGCAGCGTCCCCAGCCTGATCCGCCGCCAGCTGCCCCTGCGGGCGCAATGAGGAGTCGCGCCGGAGCCGCCGCCTCAGAGCCGCACTGAGAAGCCTTCGTAAGCGAGCGAGGCCGCCGCGGCCGCTTCACCCCTGCTCCGCCCGCCGCGGATCCTGCCGCCACTGCCGGATCCCCTTGCGAGCGGTCGCATCTCCTCGAGTCGGCGGATTCGGGAGTCCAGAGATCCCTCCGCCGTCGGGGAAAAAATAGTCCCATTCCCTGCCGCCTCCCTCAGAGGCGAGGTGAAGGAAAGGAGAGGGGAGGGGGGGAGAAAGAGGAGGAAGGAAAAGAAGGGAAAGAAAAAGGCGGAAAAAGGGATAAAAAACCCAAGAGACGCAGCGGCGGGATCAGAGGAGCCGGGCCGTGAGCCGCCGCCCCATGTGACTGGCGCCCGGGGTGGGGGCAGCGAGGCCTAACCAACCCCCCTCGCTCGCGGCCGGGAGCGGGAGAGCGCCGGCCCGGGGGGGCTGCGGAGTGGGCGGAGGCAGGTCTCGGACCCACCGGCGCTGCCGGGAAGGATGGTTTTGTGAGGAACGGGCGGCGTGAGGAAGAAGAGGAACACGAAGGAGAAGGAGCAGCCGCCGCCGAGCGTTACAGAGACCGCGAGGGGAGGGGGCTTCCCCTGGGGGGGGGGCAAGGGGGGACCCCGGCGTTTAATGTGGCGCGTCCCGCCCGTCTCCTCCAGCTGAGCGAGCGAGGGAGCGGCAGACGGGCCCGCCGGGGCGAGGCGGAGGAGGGGGAAAGGCAGGAAGAGAGCGGTGATCGGGGCACAGTAGGAGCGGGAGAACCATGTCCGGGCGGCCCAGGACCACCTCCTTCGCGGAGAGCTGCAAGCCGGTGCAGCAGCCCTCGGCCTTCGGCAGCATGAAAGTTAGCCGTGAGTATCCTGCCGCCCTGCGCGGGTGGTTGTCTGTCTGCCCGGCCCTGCCGGGGCTTTCCCCCCCTCTTCCACCCTTCGCTGAGGCGGTAGGGCGGCGGGCGGGAGCCCGGCCGGGGGCCGAGAGAGCAATCGAGAGCTCGGCCCCAGCCCCGGCGGAGGCAGCTCCTTTCTCTCCCCTTCCCCCTCCATTAACCTTGAATAGGCGCACGCCGCCGCTTCGTTTGGGGCCTGTTGGACAAAAAAAATGCCGGCTGGTTTGTCCTCTTCCTTAGCCCCCGATCGCTGCCAGCGTTGTAAGCAGCCTCTGGCTAATTAAAAAGCCTTCCCCCACCTTCTCTTCCCCCCCCCTCCCCCTTTGTGAAACGGATTGGCAGCTCCGTAGCATGTATTTCCTTTTGATTTCCCCCTTGAAAGGAGGAAGCGAATTGCGGGCACACAGGTATGGCCGTGACATTAATGTTCGTTATGTGTTTCTTTTTTACGCACTCCTGGCTCTGAGGAAGAGAGCTAGGAAGGTTTTTTTCCATGCTCCCGTAGATCGGGTGTGAGCACCTTTCAGTCCAGCCCTTTTATTAAAAAAAAAGGAAAAAAAAGGAAAAAAAAAAGGGGGGGGGGGAGGGGAGCTTACAAAAGGTGTTTCTCAGATATCCTCCAGGCTCTGGGAGAAAGCTCAATCGAGGGGATAAGAAAATGGCTATTTTGACATGTGAGCCTATGGAGTAGTTATTTAAGGCTTGGCCATGCCTTTTCCAGTCTTCTGATCAGAGGAATATATTTAAGAATGAGGCCTTGTGCTTTATTCTGCACAGGTGTGTTGGAAATTGCATTTAATACGTGCCCATCTTTCGTATCCAAGTTTGTAGGATGAGCTGGTGTATGTGAATTAAAAATATGTATTAAATCTGCACAAACGTACAGTGCAGATGGAATAGGGCCTGTTCTGAGTTGCTTAAGATGGGCTAATTGATTATAATCGGGAATTTCTTAACTCCTGATTTGAATATGTTCGCATTAATTGTTCTTCCAGATTCCTACTAATAGTGTAGTTTTCAGGGATATTTTCCTTTTTCTTATAGAAATGCAGGGTGGCATCTTTATGGGAACAAGAATGCTTGATATGTATGACCATTTGATTGATGTATTTGATCCTTACATGCAGCCACACCTGACATGGCTCTGTGTGTGCAGATATAGCCCATCGGTTTGTGTGTTTCATGCCAAAGCGCTGTACAGTTGTGAGCTTTCTGACAGGTCAGGAATTCTCCTATTTTTCTGCACTGAAATGTCTTCCACTGCGGTTGAAGACTTGAAGAGAGCATTTGGCTCGGGGTCTGTAGACTACCTTGTATCTGCATGATCAGCGTGCCTGCAGCATTCAGAAAACATGGGTGCAGTTAACCCATGTTAGCAGCATAAGGGCATATGTTTTATCAGGTCCAGCATTAGTGTTTATTAAGGATTCTTGATTTGTATGGAGAAAACCCGTGGGTGACTCCATTTTAATTTACTGATTTATTTTATGTGCATGTGGAATAGGAAGCAGGTTTTGTTGATCGGTATTTCTGCAGGTAGCTGTCTAAACCAAGTGAGACCTAGACCTGTCATGCTCAGCAATCGTGTTTGTCTTATTCAAGCTCTACAGCTTGATTCTTGAAAGGTCATTGATGCTCCTTTCCCTCCGTTTATGTGAGGTCAGAGACTAGACAGATGCTTGCCTGTAAAGAGGGTGCTAACTGATGCAGACTAACAAGTTTGCAAATATGATTCAATCCCAAGTGTATAACACCGAGGGAGAAACAAAGGCCGTATGCGATAACCCCCACAGTCGCTCTAGTCATGTGCTCCTGGTCCTTCTGCTGTCTGGAAAAAGATGTCAGAACAAAGCAAGAGAACCACATACAAGGACTCTATGGGGAATGCTGTTGAAATTTTCAGTTAATCCATCCATGCAAGACAGGCCACAAAGTTAACTTTTCTTTTTTCCCTTTTGCTTTGTAAGAGAAAAAAAAATATCTGGGTGTCAGAAAGGCTTGTATTTGTCTGGTTCTCATGAATTCTTATGAATAGCATCTATGGAATGATGTAGCAAATTATCTAGTGCCAGTATTGAGTGCTTGGGGGGGTGGGGAAGATCACTTGTGTGGTGAACAAGGAGTTTGCTTGGCTCTTTCATTTTGCTGTATATTTACAGATACTTGGTTACATTCTGAGCCCTTTCAAGTGAAAGTTGGGACAAAAGAGTCCTTGTGAGGTGGGTGATAATTGATGGATTGGTATCTTCTGAGTCTCTCATGCATCTTTAGTACCTCTTTCTTGGTACACGTCTTCTCCAAGTCATCAGGGAACAAAACCTGACTTGTTTCGTGCCAACGTTTTTGGTTTTATTTGTAAGTCCAGAGTAGTGGTGAAATTAAATTATGAGGTCACTCTTGCTCTGGTGTCTCTGCAGCTATTGCTGCTTCTGGCTGAGCACTGCAACAGTTACGTAGGAAGGATGGATCCAGATGTGGAGGAACAGACTGATAAAGCAGTGGAGGAAGGCTTGCTGATCCTTCTGTTACCTGGGAGGAGCAGTACTAGAAGCATATGGTGATTGCTTTTCTCTGAGGTATATGGGGGAGAAAGAGCAAGTAAGGATTTTTCATCTCGTCCCTTTATAATTTATTAGACTTAATTTATGAGACTTTGTTCTCAGAAGTTGGTAAGAAAGCTTGATCCTTGAATGAAAGGATGGGAGATAACCTACAGCTGCTTCTGTTCTGGCTATTGGGAAAGATGACTTGTCATGCATGCTGCTCTCATTGCTCTATAATTGACATTACAAGGGTTTTAACAGCTCTGCAAGAGTAGGAACCCTGTGGCCTTTTTATATCTCTTTCAGGCCATACCAGCATCAAGAGTACCTTCTGAAATCTGATTATTTTTCTTTTCTCTATTAACATTTTGGTGGTTTTGAAATCACTCCACCATTCTTTCCAACCCACCATATGGATTTCTGCATTGAAGGTATTCTCAAGTAGGTTATTCTTGGTCTGTATTGCTGGGTTTGTAGGCTTTCAGTGCACACGCAAAAAGTGCATGTACTCCTCGTGTTGAGCCTGTCCCTCAAGACGAGGGAGCTGAGCTTCCAGTTTTCCCCTTGCTGATACTATCAACTTGCTGGTTGTCGTATAAGAGATATGAGCTTAAAGCTTTCTTTTGTTCTTCACCTAGTTGTTGTTACATTGCTTCCAGATGTACATTGTTTCCCAAGTGGGGAAAAATAATCCTGAAATATAAAGGGTAGCCATGCAACACATGACCAAAAATATCTGTATAAAAATAGAAGTTTTGAAGTTTGCAGTTTGAGGATTTTCATCTAATGACTGTGGAATTGATTTTTTAAATATTTTTTTTTCTTTCCCCTTCCCGGAGCTTCTGGAAAATGAGTGTTTTCAAGTAACACCACGTCCCTGTAGACAGCAATACTTATTGTAACTGCAGCCAATTATCTTGTTGTCTGCAGTAAATAGTGTCATGGCTGATGCTTGCCACGAAGAGGTTTTGCTCCATGTGTGAGTGTCGTGGCTCTGTAATTGTTTATGCGAAATTTGTTCAGTTGGAGGGTGAGGAAGACCGTTTGATTTGTTTTAGCTAATTCTGATGTTGTGTGCATATTCTTGGTTGCAAAATCTAAAGGACAATCTTGTAATAATTCATTTTGGACTCTGAAAGAATGTTTCACTGGTGCCAATGGTTTTAGTTAAAGTTTTGGTGTTTGTGTTTTTTTTGTTTGTTTGTTTTTTTCTTCTCGGATTCACTGTTTTTCGTTCTTTGTAATCTCCTGAAAGCACAATAGCTTGATAAACCTATATTGCTGTGTATTGTTCACACATGGTTCTGCTGCTGGCGTTTGAGTGTGATGCTGCTTTTGTTAGTGTAATGGCACTTTAAGAAGTGGTTCATAAAGGAATAAAGTCTGAGAGTTCACTGCTCTGCTGGTAACCACTGCACAAGCCAGGACATAAAAGTGGCTGATTTTTAGGTAGAATGTGACATCTAGGTGACAGTTTAATACACTGTGATGTCCAGGTAGGTGTATGGAAGAGCCTTGGGAAGAGAGCACCCTGGCCAACTTCAGTTCGAAGGAATGAGTGGGGCTGTTGAAACTGGTGAAATGATTGAGATAATGCCACCTTCTGTTTCTCAACCCAGTTAGGGTAGGGCCCTATTGCTTTGATAGCAGTTTCTGCCTAGTTGGTTTCAGAAACTGGAAGCCGCCCATCCTGCTCTCCTTGCTGGAGAGACAAAGATCGTTCCTTTCCAGAAGCCTGGTGCGTGGTCTGTGTCTGGCCATCGCTGATTCTAGCCCTGTGCAGCTCTGAGTGCTGCTGGGTGAGCAGCCTTCCTTGTGCCTAAACTTGAACAAACTGCGCTTCTGGGGTCAGCTAATGACCGTGTGTCCTACACAGAGCCCCAGAGTCATCCTTGTGGTCTGAGGAGGAATAAACGAGCTGTCTGCTGTACTGAATGATAATGCTGACAAACTGTTTTCTGTTTATTTGTGTCATTAGGGGTAGTTGAGCAGAAAAGTAACAAATAAAAAAAGTGAGGCCTGCCAATGGAACCTGTCAAATGATAATTTGACTCATTATTCTGTTGTGTCCCCCATGTCTTATTTCCCTGGTTTGGTTGTTTATCTTGAACCTTTTCTTATTCCATTACTGTTCAGCATGCTTCCTCTTGCCTACAGTGCTTCCTGGAGATGACCCTCAATGTAGTATCACTTGATTTACCTTTTGTGTGTCTTAGCAGTATTTAACAATCCTGTTCACGTATTTACACAGCTGTAAATTACATGATGTAACGGAGCACATTCCTCGTGTGTGTGCATCCTGGCCCTGGAAATTGTGGTACTGCTTTGTCTGTTAACTTGATAGGGTCTTGTAGGTATCACAAAGCAGTGGTGGTTTGTGTACCACATATTTTTTTTCTGGTGGGGGTTGAGGAAAGAAGTA